AACACAACGTGGTGCGATCATCCCCCTTGCGCGGAGTGAGGGTTCTCGACCCCGCACAACATGATCTACTCGACCACCTTTGTGGTTACCGCCAAAAAATAAGAGGTAAAAAAAAAACCGGTAACCAGGTTGCCGAGTTCACGAAGTGAATTGGCTTGTTTTACAACGTCTTTGCCAAGCGACGAAAACCCAATCCCGATGGTAAACACCGAGGGGGAGATACGTGAGGGAGGGGGGGGGTATGAATCAAGAACAGACGCATGACCGCCGTATGTTACAGTTGGCTCGCGCCGAGAGAGGGTCAAGCCGTGTGTTTGTAAGGGAGCGTGGACGTTCAGACCGATCGATTCGCGTGGTCCTGGCCCCGTACCACCAAATCGCCCTGAACAGGTTAGTTTTTGCCACAAAAAAAAACGTTCTGCCGCTGTTCGGGGCGGGGGGTTCTGTGTGAGACACTCTTACACCGACGAGTATCTCGCTTCTTCGCCCAGTACCCCGTCCAAATGTCCTCATGCCCCGCCTCTCCTCCGTTCCCAAAACGTGCCCTGTTGGGGGGGACCCCGTGGGGGATTTCTGTTTGTGCTGCGAACAGGCCTTGTCGCTGCTAGTGTCTGAGAACGGCGGCGGCGGCGGCGGCGGTGGTCCGGAGGAGAAAGCCGACGGCCCTTCGGGAGCAAGCCTCAACGACAACGACAACGACAACGACGACGGTGCGGAAGACGGCGGCGCCGGCGATGGCGTCACCCTCCCACGGTCTGGCCTACGGCTTGCGGTCGTCTTCGACGCCTCTTCTTCTCCTCCGGAGCGGAGCGGAGGAGGAGGAGGAGGAGGAGGAGGAGGAGGAGGAGGAGGCGTGCCGGCGGCGGGAGGCGGCCGGTGGTGGCTCCCGGCCGTGTTTGAGGCGGTAGGCAGCAGGTCTCCTGACAAGGTGAGGCGGGACGACGCGCTGCCGTATCGTGAGAGACAAGTGCAATGGCCAACAAATCTACGGGGGAACACTGTTTTACACGTTGTGGTTCGGTGTGATGGGGTGACAGTTGTGGTCGGGCTTTGGTGTTCTTGATGGGCTTTATCTTGGGAGCTAGGTCGCTGAAGGGGCGACACACTGACTGCTGTCACCCGGGGGTTTTGACGACTCGCTGGTGCCGTGGCCGTTTTGATGATGAGCTGTGTCTTGTTACCCTATTTGCCGTAGCGGTTAGGGAGCAGTTCAAGGGCCGGTGACCTTCCCAAGCGAGCGGCGGTGGCATATGCCGTGTGTTCCAAGTGTGTGTTGTCGTCGTTTGCACAACCGCAGTTGTTTGTCCGGGCGGTAAATGGGAAGCTCTGTTTGGGTGTTTCCTATCTAGCTTCGGTCTTTTGCTGTCTAGGGCTGGATGTTTTGACCGTACGAGAGCCGCGAACCAAGAAGCGTAGGGAGGCGGAGGACCGCGTTGTGGTTATCAACATCCACAGCCATGCCATCTACATAGTATTTGATCCCTATCACGGTGCCGGCCTCGACTTCGAGACTAACGCGTGCCATCTATCTCCCACACACAGTTGTCGATCTCAAGTAACCTTCCTTTTTTGCCTGCGAGGACTCTCTTGGCTGTACGTGTGTTTTCGACCCCCCTCCTCTATTCTTCCCCTTGTCGTCTACGCCCCCATCACCTCACCTCTTCCATTCTCCCCTCCCATGTGTGCTTGCCGACGTCCCTTGCCCGCCCTCTCTGCCCCAACCTCTACACTGGGATGAATCAACACGTGCCGACCGCCCGCGTATCCTGTAACAATAAAAAAAGTCTCCGAGATTCCTGCTCTCGGTGACCAGGGCCGCAACGTCGTCCCCCGGCCCCGACGGCAAAGGAAACAGCGCCGCAAACATGGTGGAAACCCTGGCGAGGGAGGCCGGCCTCTCCCCTTCCCTTCGAGCGGCCGTCACGAAAGCTGCCGCCGGGGGCGAGGTGAGGATTAGAGGAGCCGTAGTTGCTGTTCGCCCACAACACAGTCTTGTTGGAGCGTTTGAGTTTCAAATTTTCTGCCAGGCACAATTCCAGGTCCCAGGGGGAGTGTTGTTTGGCTGTGTAGCCCCCCCGATCGGGGCTGCTCAGGTGAGAGGGTCAAATGTGTTTGTGCGGTAGGTTGGTGGTTTTTTGTGAGCGACGATTGATGGATGGGGTGGCGACCTGCAGCTAAGATTGAAGCATGAAACACACGTGCGGATGTACCATCATTTTGCAAACGATTTGACACGATGGTGGATAATGGCCCTTACCTTGTGCTGCTGCTGCTGCTGCTGCTGCTGCTGCTGCTGCTGCTGCTGCTGCTGCTGCTGCTGCTGCTCAGGCATCATCGTCTGCGAGGAGAAGAAGAATGGCGAGGCTCGCGAGGAGAGTAGCCGGCACTGCGAAGGGGGAGTCCTGCGCGCTGGTGAACGGAAGAAGGTATAGGCACCTTCCGGACCAAACCAAACCCATGCCGTCCATACTGCTTGTTTTCTATTTGGATGATGTTCGTCAAGTCTCCGTAGGAGAGGAGCCACACTGCTTCCTTTCTTTCGATGGTGTCATCAAGTCTCAGTAGGGGAATAGTGTTCGGGAGCGTTGCCACTTTGCGTCGGCTCCGTTTGGGGTCGGAAGCATCTGCTTGTTACCGTTTTGTTTCTTAGAGTGATGTCCTTAGGGCCCGCACTTCACCCCGACCGAATCGATCGATCCATAGGGTTCTTGTGGACTGACGTGCTTCTGGTCCGAGATGGGTCCACATTCGTGAGAACACCTGCTCTTTCCTTTCACGGCGAAGGAGAGTACGACACGGCAAGAGGTTGACTCATCGTCTGAATCGTGCTTTACACCCGCAATTGTCCAGTCGGTGTCGGTTGTGGTATCAATCAACACGGACACGTTTCACAATGCCATCATTATTTTTCTGTCCCTGTGAATCAGACAAGTTGCTGCTTGGGCGCTGGTCACGGGCCACGGTTTCAGACACAGGAGATGCCACAACGCCACCGTACATATTTTTGCTTTTTCATGGTTGGTATCTCTATCCCCTACCCCCCTAGTCGTTAGTTCGAACTCCGCTTGTCTGCCCCGTTTCCCGCCAATCCACCCTGTCGTTTGGTTCGACTACAACCGCGTGCCGGCCTAGTTTCCCTCCAATTCATCCACATGCATCTCGCCAATGTCGTCCTTTGGTTCCTGCTTGTTTGCTAAGAGTGACACCGGCGAGAGAGGGCCGATCTCTGACGTCAGAAGACCTCTCCATCGCCATCGAAGCCGCAGACGATCTAGCGGAGTTTTTGAAGGATTTGGCGTTGTCGTGGGACTGGGGGTCTTGGCCGGAGGGGTCCCCGCAGGATAAGGACCCCGACATGGGTGAGGGTCCAGTACCACAGTAGTGTGCTGTCGCTTGTTTTCATTTTGTCTGGGAGGTGAGAGGTAGGCAGGGAGACGGGCCGCGAGAGAGGAGACGGGGGAAGAGAGAAGATTGAGGGAGGGGGAGGGATAGAGAGAGAGAGAGGGAGGGGGGATGGAAGAAAACGTCATCGAACTGAATTCTGCGGCAGCATGAACGAGGGGACACAATTCATCATCCCTCACTGATTCTCGTCATACGTTCTATGTCCTACTCGAGAAATTCATCCGTCCCGCCCGCCCCCCCCCCCCCCCCCCCCCCCCCCCCCCCCCCCCCCCCCCCCCCCCCCCCCCCCCCCCCCCCCCCCCCCCC